AGGGGGGAGCTCCCCAACCCCCTGATGGGCCCTGCTCTGTGCGTGACAGGGGGGAGCTCCCCAACCCCCTGATGGGCCCTGTTCTGTGCGTGATAGGGAGGAGCTCCCCAACCTCCCTGACGGGCCCTGCTCTGCGCGTGACAGGGGGGAGTTCCCCAACCCCCTGATTGACCCTGCTCTGTGCGTGACGGCGGGGAGCTCCCCAACCCCCTGATCGGCCCTGCTCTGTGCGTGACAGGGGGTGGCGCCGCAACCTCCCCATGGACCCTGCCTTGAGTGTGACAGGGGGCGGTGCCCCAACCCCCCATTTGGCCCTACCCTGAGCGTGACTAAGGTGGCATCGCAACCTCCCAATCCACCCTGCTCTGTGCATGACAAGGGGCAGCGCCCCAACTCCCCAATTGGCCCTGCTCTGAGCCCGACCAGGGGCTGCACCTAGGGATTAGGCCTGCCCTCTGCCACCCGGGAGCAGGCCTAAGCCAGCAGGTCATTATCTCCCGAGGGGTCCCAGACTGGGAGAGGGCACAGGCCGGGCTGAGGGACCTCCCCCACCCCCCAGTGCACAAATTTTGTGCACCGTGCCTCTAGTATGCATATAAGATCTTTGGTTAATCTCTTCTTGCCCTCCCCCCTCTCCCCTTCTTCCTTCCCTCTGAGATTCATCAGTCTTCTATGTTACCATGCCTGTGTGTTGAGCATCTGCCCCCTGGTGGTTATTGCGCATCATAGCTACTGATCCAATGGTCAGACAGTCACTTAGCTACTAAAGGCAAGTTTATACCCTTAAACAACATTCCCCAATTCTTCCATGCCCCAGCCCCTGGTAACCACCATTCTACTTTCTGTTTTTACAATATTGACCTGTTAAAATTCCACATATAAATGATATCGTACAATACTTGTCTTTCTATCTAATTTCTCTCTCTTAGTGTAATGCTTTCAAGGTCCATTCATGTTGTCACAAAAGGTAGGGTTTCCTTCTTTCTCATAGCTGAGTCATATTGATTGTCTCCAAGTGTTACCATTCCCCCTGAAAGCTCAAACATTGGTTGCGGGTTCGATCTCCAGTCAGGGAGTGTAGTGAAGGCAACCAATAGATGTTTCTTTCTCTCATCCTCTCTCTAAGAATGTCCTTGATTGAGAATTAGAATAAAAAATCTATATATATAAAAGGCTAATATGCTAAGTGTCCAACTGTCTGACTGGTCGTGATGACACGCACCAACCACCTGGAGGCAGACACTCAATGCAGGAGCTGCCATGACGAGCACTGGCCATTTATAGAGAAATGGCACCGCAGACCTGGCACCCACAAAGCAACACTTGGCTTCCCCCAAGTGGGACACAGGCCCCACCACCAGTCTGGAATGACAGCCCACCAAATTGCAGCCAATGCTGCCAAGACCCCATGGCACAAAATGTGGCCCACAGCCCAGCCCAGCCCAGAAACAGTGGCTGTGGGCGCCAGGTAATGATGTCACATAGCAACGCCCGGCTTCCTCTTCCTAGAGACCACTAGCCCCCTTGCAGTTTCTTCAGCCTAGCAGGGGTGGGCTAACTTTTTGACTCGAGGGCCACAATGGGTTCTTAAACTGGACTCAGAAGAAGGAGCTGCGGCCGTGTTTCCCGACGTTGCCATGTTAACACTGCTGCTGGTGAAGGAGCGGAGAGGAGAGCAAGAGAACCCTCCGCTCTTTCGGCTCTGAGGGCCGGATAGAACAGCCGAACGGGCCCGCGGGCCGTAGTTTGCCCACTGCTGCCTCATGACTTTATAGCCAGGTGCAAACATTTTACACTTTAACCAATTATCTGTGAAGTGTTTTCCCGTGCCTCATCTCATTTGATCCTCACAGAAGTCCTGGAGTAGGTAGATAGGAGACTCGGTAAAATCCCATTTTCTTTTCATTAGCTGGAAAATGGAGATTTAGCAAGCTTAGAAACATGACCCGACTGAAAAGAAGTAAGCAATTGTGGACTTTGAAAATGACTTCAGGTTTTCTCACTGTGCAGAATATAGTCAAAGACTGCTGCAGTTAAATATTTTACCCTTTGTTCTCCCTGGGTGATCTACAATCCCTGCTTCATGTTGATATTTACTGCTGTGTTGCTGACAATTACCTGAAAGAGAAGTTGGGGTGCTTCACTGGGCTGGAAAAAGTTTAGCTAAATCAGAAAGCAGATCTAATTAAGCGAGTTTATCTGTACATATAAAGCTCTCGCTGGTGCCAACCACATGCGTGTGTTTCCATCTGTCATTGTCAATAGTGAATTTGGTTGACACTTCTATTATAGAGAGAAGGCGAATAGCGATATTAAAACATTTATTCTAATTTCCTTTCAATGTGCATGAATTCGTGCACCAGGCCTCTAATAAATAAATAAATAAATAGATAGATAGATAAATAGATAAATAGTATTAACATGTGCCAAAAAAGACATAAAGTCCTATTATTATGACTTTTACTTTAGTAACTTTTTTAATTTAAATTTTACTTTTCAATTACAATTTACAGTTAATATTTTATATTAGTTTCAGGTGTACTGCGTAGATAATCATGTACTTTACACAATGTTCCCTTCGATATTTCCAGTACCCACCTGGCACCATATGTAGTTATTATATTATTGACTACTAGTATATACCCTATGCTGTACTCTACATCCTTATGACTCTTTTGTAACTACTAATTTCTACTTCTTAGTCCCTTCATTTTATTTTTGTAACCCTCTTTAACTTCTTTAAGTTTTTCAGAACTCATTCAGACTTAGTGAACATCAAATACAGATATTCTTATTGTATTTTTAATATGAGAGCCTGTGGTGCTTTCCTAGAAAGTATATGAAAAACTTGATTGTAATAAAACAAATCTTTGTCCAGAAAAATAATACTGTAATTGGGATTTGTTTTCTCAACTAAGGTTTGGGTGTAAAATATGTTTTAAAAACAAAGATAAAGCTATGTAGGTTTTAATAATTATTTAAAATAATGAAGTATTAAATGAACTTAAATGAATGGATTTTGTAAGGAGTTATGCATTTGTTCATTGAAACCTTCACTCTAGTCAGGTCTCCAGCTCTACCATGTTTGCCGTTCTTTTAGTATATGACCTCATTTCTAACATCAAAAAAGTACAAAAGCCGTCACAATGAGAACTCTTCCAGTTTTTTGTCTCTGAACCAACTTTTTTGCATCTGTATTTATCCTTTTCTCTATCATCTTCCCATTACAGTGGAAGAAGTATTTCTCTTTCTAGACACTAATATCTCTTCAGTGTTTCAGTCTTGGTTCTCTTCATCTTTTTCTCTGTCTCCTGTATTAGCAGCTTATTTTCTCTGGTTTCTTCCTGTCAGTACTTAACATACTCAAGTTTCTTCCATCTTAAAAAAACAAATAACTCTTTAACCTTGTGTGTTACTCTGGCTGCTGCCTTATTTTCTCCCCTTCAGAGATTTATCTACATTTATTGTTTCAATTTACTTATGTCATATTCATTCCTTAGTCTTCTGCTATATAGACTCTGCTACTGTATCACTGCAACTGTTTTAGCCTTATCCACTAGCCAGTAGTGACTTCTTCATTTCAAAATTCAGCAGATTCTTTTTTCTTTTTTCCAACGTACTCTTCTTAGTCCACCTTTTACTAGACCTCGTGGCAGCTTTTAGTACTATTTGTGCCCTTTTTGAAAATTTTTTTCTTGCTATTCCTTCTTGTTGGTCTCATCTATGCTCATATCTGACATTACTATGTATATGCTGACTACAGAAACTTTTTTTTGAGCTTTAGATGTGTTTATTTAGCTTGCCATCCTCATTTAGGTGTCTCACAGGTACCCTAACTCAACCTACCCAAAATAGAAGTCATCTTCCTGTTTCCTCAGATCTTTTTCTCCTATATTTTTTACTCCAGTCCATGATGTTGTCAATGACCTGCTGCCAGAGGCAGAAATTATCTGATTCCACCATCTTATTTCTAATATTCAATGACCAAATGCTATTGGTTTTACTTCATATTGATCCTGCTTGTTTACTCTCTATATAGCAACCACCATACTGTAGTAGCCACCATCATCTCTCTCTCACCTGAGACATTTTAATATTTCTTTTGACTGGTCTCTCTGCCTCCTATTCTTATTTATTCCCCCTAAGCATTCAAAAGACAGTTAAAGACTTTTTTCCCAAACAAAATATAATTTATATTCTCTGGCTAAAAAATCTTCAATGGAGTGCTTTCTGTTGTTCGTAGAGTAAAAAGACTTTTATGTTCTGCTTCCTAATTATATCCCCAGCCTCAACTCCAGTTGTTTAGTATATCTGTTTTCTCCTCAAATGCTTTTCTCTCACCTCATAGGCCTTCACACTGTTTCCCCTCTTAACTGACACACAGTACTCTCTGTGGTTTGTACTTGCCCTGTCATAGTACTTATTATTTTTTATTGTGGTAGATTAGTTATTTACCATCTAGTCTAGTAGATACAGAAAGCTTAAAAGAAGAAATTCCATTGTAACCCTGTTACCTACAGTTCTGGATATATAGCAAATGCTTAATAAACACATATTGAGTGAATCTCTTTGAAGGTAATTGAGTATGTGAGGATACCACCATGCTTTAGATTATAACCATTTTGTACTTTAGTAATGCATTTATTTTTTTTAACCTACTAATATGTGAATGGGTATAGGTTTTAGAAAGCAAGTTTTATGTGTGTGTATTGTACATAGAAAGGAAGTGTATACATATAAGAGCAGAAAAAACCTATTATTGGAAGTCAGAAACTCCATTGTCTTCTGTGGACAAATCTTTATGTTCCTTTGACTCTAACTTCCCTCTTCAAATATTGGGATTGGACTAGATTGTCTAAGACATTTCTCTTGTATGACACTCCAAATATATGTGAGAGATATTAAATGTATAACTATGTAATTTTTATTTATTTTTTATTTTATTAAAATGCATATAAATTTATATTTATCTGCATATTAAAATAACTTTGTTTTTGCAGGAAAGATGATAAAGACTATGCTTTAAAACAAATAGAAGGAACCGGAATCTCTATGTCGGCATGTAGAGAAATAGCAGTAAGTAGAGCTCTTTTTACCAACATTATTACCAACTGACTTAGAAGGTCATTTATGTAGGTGTCTGAATTGTGATTGTCATATATACTCATTAATTGAAAGTTAATAAATATTTTCATATCAACTATATGTAGAAGAATATATTCATTATGTAGAGGTGTCTGTAAATCTAATAAACATTTCTATATAAATTTATTTTATTGGTATTAAATCAATCTCTGTTGTTTATATAAATATATATTTTTCCAATAAGTATCACTAAATAGTTAAGGGTTTAGTTCTTATTTCATCTAGTATAATAAAAGTCCTATGTTAGTTCATATAAAATTAATATTCTATTTTAATGATATTGTTACTTATGTGACCTTAAAATGAGATCGTGTTATTTGATTTTCATAGTATCTGTCTATATAAACATATATGCCTTTTTCTTTTGGGAGCATAGGTTTCCATATGGTACTAGAATCTCATTTTGATTTCAAAGGAAAATATTCTTCATGTTAATCCATTACTAACTATTCATACAATTAAATTGAGTATTATTCCTATGCGATTTTACTTCAGTTTTTACTATTGTAAGACTGTGGGTCCAAATGTGTTTTTTCTGGCTTTAATTTAAATAATTTTACTCATTTAACAAATTCTATACCATAAATAAGGATTTTAACTAACAGTCATTTATTGTGTATCATATTGACAGGAACTAGAGTAGGTAGAAGTAGAGAAATGGAACAAGGGTCCCTGGCCATAAGTATTTACATGCTGATGAGGAAAGAGCCTAATAAAGCTTATAATAATAACAGTGTTCCAAGGACTTTGACGGTAGTGTACACAGAATGGGAGAAGGGTATACCTCTAAACTACAGAAGTCACAGAAGGTTCCAGGTTTTGGAGGACATGTAAGAATTACCAACATGAGGGAAGAATAGGGTGAGATGGAGGGCATTCTTAGCCAAAGGTATGCTGGGTTGGAAATTGTATTTTACTTAATTGATAAATTTTTCAAAATTTTGAATCTTGAGGCAAATCTGTACATTAACTGTCATTTCTTCAACACCTACTACTCTAGTCAGTTTAAAGGATTAAAATCCATTGAACTATGGTAGTGACGTGAGGAGTCATGGTAGTGATTACTTTTGGAGGGGACAGGGAGTGGCATGAGGGGCAGGGGAGACAAGGTAGTTTTCAGAATGCTAATAATGTTCTAGTTCTTGATCTCACTCTGAGTCTGGTTATATGGGCTTAATATGTGAAAACTCACTGAGCTGTGCTCTTGTGGGTAAATGTTTTTCTCTATGTTTATTATAGTTCAACCAAAAGTTTTTAAAAACAAACAAAACTCCACTGATTTTAGGAACAGACATATTTATGTTTATATTGAAAACTGTAAATTTAGTTTAAACACAAAAAGGAATATGAAAGCTTATTTTAATATACTAATTCTTCAGCCTAAGGTGAACAGAAATTTTTAATTTTGATGAATCTAATTTACGAATTTTTTCCTTTTATGACTATTGTTTTCTGTGTCTGGCTGAAGAAATCTTTATCGATCCACTGATTGTGAAGATAATTATGTTTTCTTGTAAAAGCTTTTATAGATTTAACTTTATTTTCTAGTCTATGATTAAATTTTGTTTGTGATATGCTATAGGTTTTGAGGCTCTTCTCTTCTCATTCCATATGAATATACAATTGTTTTTTGAAGACATTCAATTCCCTTTTGAATTCCTTTGGTACCTTTGTAGAAAACTAAATGGCTTTGTAAGTGTAGGACCATTTCTGGGCTCTATTTCATTCTATTGATCTCTTTGTCTATCCTTATGCCAGTACCAGATTATTCTAACTCAGCGATTTTCAGCTGGTGTGCTGTAAGAATTTTTAAAACATGCAATACCTATTTATTTAGTCAGGGGCACTGATCTCTTTTCCCTTAAATTGTCAAATTAAAAAAATAACAACAGCCAACACAACAATAGCCAGTAGTTGTGAATGAATCAAAATTATATCTATATTTTTTGTCACATTGGCAAAAAATATAATATAGTATTTTAGTGTGCCATAGAATTTTAGTAATTAGTTCATGTGTGCCAGGAGATGTAAACGTTGAAAATCGCTGCTCTATCATTATAGCAAGATTTGAAATATGGTCTTACAAAATCACCAGCTTTGTTCTTCTGTTTCAGGATTGTTTGAACTTTGCATTATTATATAAAATTTTTAATCAGCTAGTCAGTTTCTAATTCTAAAAAATCCTTGCTGGGGTTATGATTTTGATCGATTCAGAGAATTGACATCTTAATAATATTGGAACTAAGAAGCCATGAATGTAGAAAGACACACTTTCCATTGTATAAGGTTTTCTTTCATTTCTCTCAGTGTTTTATAGTTTTTAGTATAGAGTTTTTGTACATCTTTTGTTAAATTCACTCCTAAGCACTTCATGTTTTCTGACAGCATTATACATGGAATTATTTTAAAATTTTGATTTTCTATTTATTTGCTTCTGTACTCAGAAATACAATTGATTTTTTTAATGTTGTATATATATTTATATACATATATATTATATACCTAAATTCACCGGTAGGTTTTTGTGATATATTGGGATTTTCTATATAATTATGTCATCTATGACTAAAAATGATTTTACTTCTTTCCATCTTTATGCTTTTAATTTTTTTTATTTTTTTTATTTTTTTATTGCACTGTCCTTGCATGCAATGTTGAATAGTAGTGAGAGCAGATCTCTGTGACTTGTTCCCAATCTTGGGGTCAGGTATTTTTAGTGTTGCACCATTACATAAAATGCTAACTATCACTTTTTTATAGATGTCATTAGCCAGGCTTATGTCTTAGGTTGTTGCCTGCTATTTTCTCATAAATGGTATTGAGTTTTATCAAATGCTTTTTGTGTTGTTAAGGAGTTCTAGGTAGTATGAGTTTGAAGGATGTTAGTCTAATTATCTTTCCTGTACTGCAAGCATGTCAAACTCACAGCCTGCAGGCCGCATGCAGCCCACAATGAATATTTTTGCGGCCCAGCCAATATAACGGTATATGAGAAACATTTTAATAAAAATTTCGTAACTTAATTTTTACAATATCATGTTATACATAATTATTAATAACGAACTACAATGTTTGCTAATGACTGATTCCTATAATTGTGTTGCATTCATTTCCCTTACGCGCTTTATGCGCAGGCGCACCATTTCCACTAATACCAGCAGCGAATATTTTAGCAGCCGATTGCCACGTCATTAGTCTTGGACTGACTTGTTTGGTGTGCGCAAGAGGAAATATTTCACTTTCGGAGAACAAGAAAAATAGGCTTATTTGCATTACACTTATTAATTTGTGCAGTTATTCAATATCTGGTAAGTTAATGTTCAAGAAAAAATTAATTTTTATTAAAATGTTATATTATTTTATGTTAACGATTACTCATTTATTTCAACCCTTTGTATTCAGCATGTCTCTATCGAAATAAACCTCCATTTCTATGAAAATTGAAGCTTTTGGTTTTTTGCGGCCCACATAAACTTAAACCTTGTTTATTTAGCCTGTATTAGCCTTTGAGTTTGACATGCTTGCTGTACTGTCTTTGTCTTTGGGATCTAGATTATAGTGTTCGCATGAAAAAAGTTAGGGAGCATTTTTTTCATCCTCTATTTTCTGACAGAGTTTCTATATGATTGGTAATTATTTTTCCTTAAATGTTTGATATTATTCACCAACCAGTATTATTTTCTTAATAGATATAGGACTCCTCAGATTTTATATTTCATCTTGTGTTTGATAAATTGTATTTTTACTTAATTTGTCCATTTCTTTTAAGTTGTTGAATTTGTTAGCACAAAGTTGTGCATAATAGTCCCTTATTATCTTTTCACATTTGTAGCTTCTGTAGTGATGTCCTGTTTCATTGCTGACTGGGTAATTTTTGTTTCTGTCGAAATCATTCGACAGTCATTTTGTTTCTGTTCTTAACTTTATTATTTCTTTTCTTCTGCTTATTTTAAGCTGACATTTATTTTTTATTTTCTTAAGGTGGAACCTTAGGTCATTCATTTTTAAACTATTCTAATATAATTAATGAAAATTATAAATATTTCTTTAAGCTGTGTTTTACTTATAGTCTACAAATTTTGTTGTATTTTAATTGTTTTTAGTTTAAAATATTTTCACTTATCTTTGAAGTTTTTAAAATATTCTATTCATGGGTTATTTAGAAATGTATTGTTTAATTTTTAAATATGTGAGGCTTTCTAGGTAATTTATTGTGGTTGATTACTAATTTATTTTCGTTGTGGTTGGAGAAAAGGGACCCTAGGATATGTTTTATAGGTGAAATCATGTGATATCAGCGATTTACTTCAAAATAATCCCAGTTAAGGTGGGAGGAGAGGGTATGAATATATATAAAACTAGAGGCTCAGTGCACGAAATTCATGCACGGGGGTGGGTCCCCCTCAGCCCAGCCTGCACCCTCTCCAATCTGGGACCCCTCGGGGGACATCCCTCTCACAATTCTGGGCCGCTTTCTCCTAATTGCTCACCTGCCTGCCTGCCTGGTTGCCCATAACTGCTCCCCCCGCTGGCCCGGTCGCTGCTCACTGCCCTCCCCCCCCCCCCCCCCGCTGGGCTGGTTGCCCCTAACTGCCCCTTGTTGCCAGCCTGGTTGCCCCCAACTGCCCCCCCCCCCGCCAGCCTAGTTGCCCCTCACTGCCCCTCCTGCCAGCCTAATTGCCCCCAACTGCCCCCCCTGCTGGTCTGGTCTCCCCTCACGGGCCCCCCGCTGGCCTGGTCGTCCCACGCAGCCTGCTTGTTCAGTCGTTTGGTCGTCCCTCACTAACCCCCTTGCCAGCCTGGTTGCCCCACGTAGCCTGCTTGTTCAGTCGTTTGGTTGTCCCTCACTAACCCCCCTGCCGGCCTGGTTGCCCCATGCAGCCTGCTTGTTCAGTCGTTTGGTCTTCCTTCACTAACCCCCCTGCCGGCCT